CTACATAAAAAAAAAAAAAAAATGAAGTTGTGTATCCGATATCAATTTAGAATGAACCTTAAAAATTGGGGATTAGAGTTTGTTTTAATTGGACACCGATCTGTATATTTTTACTCCATTTATGGTGGTTCTTCCAATTTGCAAGGTGATTTGGTGATTTTTTTTTTCTTTTTTTGGAAGTAACAATATTATGTGCATTTTTGTTCACTGTATGAACAATTCTTTTGTAAAGTTTATTTTGTTCCAATTACAGTAAATTGTTATGGACTGCACATACGAAATGAGATTTGGAAAAAGAATATTTTTTTTTCTCCTACTTCTCTTACTGAATGCTAGTTGCACATTTCTCTATGTCGTTTTGTTCTGAATGCCTTTGTTTTCTTTTTTTTTTTTTTGCCATGAATGATAGGAAATCTCATAAATCAGAAAAAGATTTAGTACAAAAGGTACAAGCCCTGAAATCGGAGGCAAAGCCAGAGAGCAGTACACACATTGTAGGCTAAACAAATCAAACAAAAGATACATCAAAGGCAGCTACAAGCTGAGCCCTTCAATGTAAGTACAATCAGTAGATCAAAAATAAAAAAGACATTCAAATCTAACCACTGCACTAATAAGTAGACCTAGAAAGAAATCTTGGACTGGCATAGCTTCCAAATCACTTCACCACAGCTTCTTGCCATTCCTTCAAAGCTCCTGAAACAATGCTTCTATTCAGCCTCCATTTTTTCTCAAACACCCAGAGGTTTCTAGATTTCCAGAGCCACCATAGAATGTATGTGGTGAGCTCTATCTTTGCCTCAGCAACTCTTGTGTCTCCAATCGAGCATATGGATCCCCACCAGTCTCTGAATTTGCAGTTTATCTTGTTGATCCCTTCCCAAATAACCGGGGCTAGCTTCCAAACCATCTGAGCTCTAATACATGTGGGAAAGAGATGTTCAACAGTTTCAACCTCTTCTCCACAACAAGCACAAATATGGTCCACCTCAACTCCTTTTGTTCTCATATTAACATTTACAAGCAGAGTGTTAAAGAAGCAACTCAACAAGAAATATTTTAGCTTACCTTTCACTTTGATTCTCCAGCTCTTGTGTCTAATGAGTTGGTTACTCTTACCAGTGGCACTGCCTTCAGGGAGGTTAAGAGATAGCAGCTTCTTCTTATGGAGAAATTTATAGGAAAAAGAGACTGTGAATTTGCCATGATTACCAATGTGTCATCTCCACCTACCTTTCTGATCCCCATTTAAAGTTTTGATTTTGAGAATTTTAGAGGAATCCTCTTCTTTAAATAGGTCTCTGACCAACTGCTCATTCCACTCATTATTCCCATCCATCAACTCTTTAACCAGCAGCTTCTCACAGTTAAAGCTTTCTTTGAGCTTTGGGGGCCTGCCTTTGATGCTTGGGACCCAATGGAAAACTTGGAGCCTCACAGAGCAGCCATTCTTAATGTTAACTTCAAAGCCTTCAAAGAGCAGCCACCTGACCTTGAGCCAGGATCTCCACATCCAAGAAGAGTTTTGAGTTAGTTTGGCCTCAAAAATAGAAGAATGGGGGAAGTACCTGCTTTATAATATTTTGCTCATGAGGAGGTGAGGTTTTGTTATGGTTCTCCAGTGTTTCTTAACAAGCATTGCATCATTAAAGAGGCAAATGTCCTTGAACCCAAGACCTCCATGTTTCTTAGTCAAGGTCAGGAGTTCCCACCTCTTCCAGTGGACACCCTTAGCAAATTCACTGCCTTTAATCCACCAGAAGTGAGCAAAAATACTCGAAACCTCTTTACATACAACCACATGTAGTTTATAACAAGACATGAAAAAGAGAGCGAGAGCATTCAGAACTGAATTGACTAATACCTCTTTCCCAGCAGAAGAAAGGTATTTGGTCTTCTAACTAAGCACCCTTTTTCACAGCCTATGTAACAAAGCCAAAGACTTCCGTTTTAGTTTTTCCAATACCCAGGGGTAATCCCAGGTATCTAGAGAATTTCTTCTCTTGTATTCCAGGGAAGAGATGACAAACATCTGTTTGAGTTAGGGAGTTGGAGTTTTTGCTGAAGAAGATGGAGGACTTAGCAGTGTTGACTTTTTGGCCTGAAAATTGTTTGTACTTGTCAAGGATAGATATCACTGCTCTTGCTTGGTACTCATCTGCTTTACAAAAGAGAAGGGAGTCATATGCAAAGAGCAGATGAGTAAGGACTTGTGCATTCCTAGCCACAGATAAGCCCCTTAGTACTCCCTTTTCCACAGCAGTAGATATCATGCCAGAGAGGACCTGTGAGACAATTATGAAAAGGTAAGGGGACAAGGAGTCCCCTTGCCTTATACCTCTATGTGCATTGATATGGCCACATGTGCTACCATTAAGAATGAAGGATAAAGACACAGATGAAATACACTCCATGATCTAATAAACAAACTTTTGTGCAAATTCCATCTTGAGCATAGTCAGCCTAATGCATTGCCACTCTATTCTGTCGAAAGCCTTCATCATGTCTAGTTTTAAAGCAATAAAAGAGTGTTTACCAGAGTGATGTCTATTCAGAAAATGAATTCCCTCATTAGCTATGACCACATTGTCAGTTAGTTGCCTTCATGGTAGGGATGCTGATTGAGCTTCATTGATACAAACATTCAAACAGCCCCTAAGTCTGTCAGCCAAGAATTTGGATATGATTTTATAGACAACTGCACAGAGG